CTCATCACTCCAGGCCTCTTGGCACAACATATATGATTACTTTCGTGCTTTATTTATATCGTTTAAATGTCATCAACATGCACACAATCCCTTATAATGAGAAAGGGGAAACATATTTTCAGAACTGTGCTACTTTATTGAAAAAATAGCACAGATGCATTATGGGTCTTTCGATCATGCTTGAGACGTTTCTTAAACTTGATTGGAAGTGTCTAGAAAATATTTACTGATGAAATAATTAGTTATTTATCCAGGAAGACATATCGAGACTGAGGTCTCATTTGCAAGCGTGCCCTGGGAACATCTACCCATGAATCCAACAAGTATGAAGGACACATCCTTAGAATTAACAGGCACATTGACATTAACCATCTCAGGCAATTAGAGCTAATACAATTCTCTCTATAACATCATTACTTTTCAATTTATCCATGACAACATGGCACCCAAACGAAACTCTTAATTGGAAAATATTCCACAGATGAGGTACCTTAAAAGAGAAGGCAGAACTACCCAACTAAGTAGTTACAAAAGGTGTCTGTAATACTATCCAACCCTGAGATCTAGTAATGAATCCAGGCGATCTATGTGTCAACAGTGATGTTACGTATCCCAGAAGCCTGTGGAGTAGGGCTTTGTATACAAAAATAGAGAAATGAAGGGATCTACACACTTTTAAGGAGGTCAAGCCAACTTTCTGGTGTAAGATACAGCGATGTGTATTCTAACTGTCTGATGTGATAAAACACAGATCACTATGAAAAACAGAGTTAAGCACCTTCAGAGTAGAAGCAGATGCACTTTGGTATATTGTTTCACGACAGTCCAGCACAGGCATGGAAGTTGACTTAATAATTTGTCTCCTGTTCACCAAGGGAACGCAGGATGTGTTTCTGTAGAAGACACCCACTTTACAGCCTTTTTTGCAAGCTCATTGGTATGTTTCTTAAATGATAGAACCCAGGAGCACCGTGTATTATTTTGGAACGAAATTCTGAGTACTTTTGTAAACTAAATAGTAATTTTAATTGTACCCTAGGCAAGTATGGTGTGTCAGATGAGCAAACGTAACACCAACCCACAAACGTAATAAGCCAGAAACGTGATACAAATCTACAGCCTCTACTGTAAATGTCCCACTAATGTATTCACAGTTGTCTACCGCAAATGTATTACGTCTTTAACTATTACGTGTGCGGGGATTTGTTGTGTATGCAGAACAGGTGGACATTTTCAGCTTTTGAAAACGTAGCAACTTCCCACAAATGTAAATGCTGTGGATTTGTAACACGTCTGTGTTCTTTTATGTCTGTGAGATGTAGTTACGTTTGGGGGAGCCAATAAAAAGAAAAGAAGAGAAATGTTACAGTTTCATCAGCTCGGTCAAAAAACAAATTGTACTCAAGAAATTGTCACCCAGAACTCAATGTATTTTTCGATCAAGCTGATAAACAACAACGTTTTTTTTACTAATATTTTTAAACATGCGTGTTTAGCGGTTAAGCGTAACTTTGTGTGGCCCAACCAAAGACAGCGGCCATTGGTTTATGGTGTGGAGGAACACATTTTAAAATGCATGCAACATGGTTCTAAATAACTTCTTAGGTTTGAGATGTATGGCAACTATGAATACATTTGTTTGTAGGTTTGGCTGTGCAAGTCTTTTCCAAAACACTCATATTTTATAATTTTTTGGGGGGGTAAATTTGCTATTATCAAACACAGCATTTAACTATGCCATAAATTAATGGCTTAAATTGGTTACGTGGTTAAGGGCGTCTCGACCAGAAACACACACACACACACAGCTATTTATAGCATGTGACTTCTGTAAATGTATTTGAGAACGCATGAATATCCAACTGTCACTCTGCGCATGATCCCCGAGCCAAGCAACCGTGTTTTAAGTCGGTTCTTAAATGGACAGTGTTGTATTTTTACACTGGGAGGATTATTGACAGACAATACTTTGGGTACGCGGTTTAATGCCCTTGTTTAACTCCTTAGCGTCCTGACGTTGATTATTATCAAATAAAATGTTTTTTGGAATCATCTTTTGCCGATATTTCCGTTGTATTTTTAGTTTTTCCCGTTTTAGGCGTTCAGAAATGGCCTAAACTGTTTATTAATCTAAAATGTATACCACCTCTATTCTTTAAATGCAACTTTCCCCAGCCTTTAACATTCTTATGAAAGAGATGGGACGCCTTATGACAACCGTTGTCTTTACCAACATATTTCAACATAATTATTTGATCTTAATTATAAGCCGGAGGCCGTATTAACATTATAACTGAATTATTGTCTTGCTATAACAATTTGTAAAATGTATATAATAGAAATGCACTTCTTTGTGGGGAAAAAATAAGACTTCTCAGTCGAAAGACTATATATGCGTGTATATTGGCTTCAACCATTTTTTCATTCCCAAAGAAAGCTGCCAAGGGCTCTGAATTATTCATTTACACGTGTTTCCATCTTACCTGGTAATTGTTTCATGCTTCAGCGCTGTGGACTTTTGATTCTGAGAGGTTCTTCAGACTGTGTCTTTAAATTTCTATTTTCCGCAAGCTTTTCCTGCTGTCCCTTTCAGTTTGCTGTTCAATCTGTCGTATTACAATTGTCTTCAGGTTTACAATCTCACATTTTCTGTGTCTGTTTAGAACCTGCCCAAAGGCGCTGAATTTCTTGGCTCCATCAAACTCACCTACATCTCCAAGGTAAAGCTGTTTGGTGACGCTGTCCTGTAACATTGTTCAATTATATCCGGTCAGTTAAACAGCAAACCACACACACCAGTCTTTTTGCCTTTCTCCATCTCTCTTGCTGTCTTCTAGGTGAGTGACGCTACCAAGCTGCGACCCAAAGCGGAATTCTGCTTCGGTAAGTTTCGGTTATTATTTTTCTTTTTGATTGCAGTCTTTTAAATACGCTAGAGATTCCCATCTCTTTTAATATAGCCAGTATTGTTTTTAACACCTGTTCATTCTTGGCGGAAGAATTACATAATTTGAGAGGACCACCGGTTTCGTGGATCAAGGAGGCTCATTCATGGCCCTGCAGTGAACGAAAGAGCCATAGGAGTTGTCTGGTTGTAGGTGTTGGGCAGTTTGGGGGGGGGATTGGAGGAAAGGGGGCTTGTAGCGAGGAGACCCGTGACCTTAAGCTATTGTTCATCAGAGGAGACCGGATACAAACTGTAGGAGGCTTTGTTAACCCGGCCTCAGGGGATTTCAACGAGAAACCAGGGCCTCTTAAAGTGTGCTCTACACCCACGAACAGTCCTTGGTGTCATTCTCCCAAGGCCCAGTCTGCTAGTTGGACTTGGGAGTGCAGTTCTTTTACTATGGTCCCTCGTCTGGTCTCTACAGCGCGACGGTTGTCGGCGGTCCCCATGTGGCCGACGCTCCACCACCACCACCACCTCCTCCCCTGGCGAGGGTTTGGGTGGGACGGGAACCTGTTGTTCAGCAGGGCCCGTTTAGGGATAGAGCTGCCTCACTGTCAATAGAAGGAAGCAGTAGGATGACCTGCCACTGACTGCTAAGTGCTGCTGGATCAAGTTGGTGGGTGGTGAGGGGGGGAGGTGGGCTACGTGTGTGTGGGGGGGGGTCACCCGCTTTCCGGCATTACAGGATGCCGGCGTCCCAATCGGAACCCTCCTCAACGAACCACTGGGATATTTTTAACCTCGTTATTCGCTTTATCCCGGTCCTCTTCGGGAGTCACCGACCCATCGATTCCGGCCTCTTCTGCCCGGTGTCGTGTCTATCTGGACTAGCCATATCGGCCGGTACCGGTATTAGGTCAAGCGTGGGCACCGTGGTGTAGTTCGGGGGAGACGTTTTGATGCTGGTTTGATTTGATTCCGTGGGCAGGTGTCCATCAGACAGAGGTTCGCTTCCCAAGCCGAGGTTGATTTCTAAATGCCACCGTGGTAGAAATTAGCCGGCCTGTTTGTTAAGAGTCACTGTGGATTCTTGGCTTGTGATTGGGCCATGCCCTGTTACTAGCATGATATCCCGTCCAATCAGTTAGCAGAAATGCAGTCAGCCCCATTAGTGCAGTTTAATTATGCATAACTGCCAGAATTGCCCCAGTTTCATTTCTGCAAACTGAGTGTGAATCTCTCCCCTTCTCTCTCTCTCTACCTCTCTCTCTATCCTCCTCTCTCTATCTCTCTCTCTATCCTCCTCTCTCTCTATCCTTCTCTCTCTCTCTCTCTCTCTCTCTATCCTCCTCTCTCTCTATCCTCCTCTCTCTCTCTCTCTCTATCCTCCTCTCTCTCTCTCTCTCTATCCTCCTCTCTCTCTCTCTCTCCCACTCTCTCTCTATCCTCCTCTCTCTCTCTCTCTCTATCCTCCTCTCTCTCTCTCTATCCTCCCTCTCTCTCTCTCTCTCTCCTCCTCTCTCTCTCTCTCTCTATCCTCCTCTCTCTCTCCCACTCTCTCTCTATCCTCCCCTCTCTCTATCATAATTCCATTGGCGCCAGTCATCAATGCTGGTATGAGAAAGTTCTACCTGCAGGCCAATGATCAGCAGGACCTGGTCGAGTGGGTCAACGTACTGAACAACGCCACCAAGATCACTGTGAGTGTCCATGCAGTCACCTGTCAGAAGTAGCACCTTCTGCCGCCCTCACACCGCCCTCACACCGCCCCTCACACCGCCCCTCACACCGCCCCTCACACCGCCCCTCACACCGCCCCTCACATGCATATCTGTTTCTGTCTCAACGCCCACCGGAGAGTGGATGTGCGATGCAGAGTTAGGGTGCCTTGTCCCAACACAGCGAGCGTAAGTGGAAATTAACGTAGTGAGAATATTCCTGTAACCAGGTAAGCCATTAAGACCTTTCCAATAATGACCTGGAGAAGGAAGGACGGTCTAGATGGTGTAAAGATGGAACAAAATACCGGAACAGGAAGACATTACTGAAACACTCAGTCTTAATGTCTATTAGTTCCTGGGGCCTCCGTCAGTCTTTCATCTTCGGAGGAGTTGGTAGCTCAGTGATAGAGTGCATGCTTTGTGTGTATGATGTCCTGGGTTCAATCGCTATTTAAGCACCCTGCGCTTTTAAGAGTCGTCTATGAGCGTCATTCGGTCAGCTCTTGGAGTTAATCAAATTTTTTATTACGGCTTTTAATAGTCTGTTATATTGGCACTATGTGTTACAACACACTATGTGTGTTTATAACAGTGGTCATAATGGTTTAGGTAGGTGGCTAGGTCACATTGACCTCCACATGAATGCCCAGATCCAGGGTTTCCCATCGAGCTCCCTCCCCGGCTTGTTGTCGTAGCATAGTGCCTCCTGGTGCCATCGCTAACCTCTCTTCTGACGAGATCACATTTATGCTGAATGCCGAGCACTACATCTAGCTAAAGCAGGTCGCCACTCATCACTTGGCTAATACCAGCTCTAGGGTTTAGCATAGAGGAGAGCTAAAGAGGATCTGAACGGGGAAATGTGACATTGATTGCAATATATATATATTTAGGATTTGAACAACAATGTGGAGAAAGTGAACGGGTGTAAATTTACATTCCCATAACCCACAGGAAAATTTGCACGCACACACACAGGCACGTACACGACCTTGCCTTGCTCCGTCGTTGTCATAAACACAGACAGACAGGCAGGCGGGCAGACAGACAGACGTGCAGCCAGACAGGCTGTATACAATGCACTCCCTTTAAATAGGCTGCACAGGGACAGGACACGACAGGCCACAGTGCCCGCCGGATCTTCTGTCAAGGGAGAGGATGTTCCGCTCCGATACCTCGTAAAGTACCTCCATGTTCGGAGGAGGGACTGGGCGTTGAGTGGAGGAACATGATAATAAGCCTTTATAACAACTATACACTATTCATCCTGCCTGAGTCTAGTCACTCTCTGTGTTTGTGTGTTCCCTTTTACTGAGTCCAGCTGCTGACACGAAACACAGTCGAACTGTCCTTTAGCCGTCAGGACACACGAGGCTTTACACACTCACTGCTCATGTTGACTGTCAGGACACACGAGGCTTTACACACTCACTGCTCATGTTGACTGTCAGGACACAGGAGGCTTTACACACTCACTGCTCATGTTGACTGTCAGGACACACGAGGCTTTACACACTCACTGCTCATGTTGACTGTCAGGACACACGAGGCTTTACACACTCACTGCTCATGTTGACTGTCAGGACACACGAGGCTTTACACACTCACTGCTCATGTTGACTGTCAGGACACACGAGGCTTTACACACTCACTGCTCATGTTGACTGTCAGGACACATGAGGCTTTACACACTCACTGCTTATATTGTACCCCACACTGCTATAAATAGACGTTTGGCTGTCACTTTTTATGTGTGTGTGTGTGCACTGGTCTGTGCAAGGGCGTCGGGAGAACGGGAGGGGCAGTACCCATATGTCACTGGGCCTGCGGGCTACACACACACAGAGCAATCGATGACCCCAGTCGCCACTTAGTGTAGTCGTTTGTTCTAAGAAGCCCCTAGGCTAGAGCTGATGGAAAGTACACAAAGCAGTAGGCAGGGAGTACATTCCGACTCTATGGACACTTCAGAGGAACACAGCTAACAAAGTGTCGGGAGCACGTTGTCCCCTCTGCAGGACGTGGCCCCAAGAGCACTCTGGGAATTGATGATTTTCTGACTCATCACAGGTGCCAAAGTCGGGGGATGCCCAGCCCCCTGCTGAGATGCCCCATGAGGTGCTCGGTGCCATGAAGCAGGTGTCCTACAAGACGGAGATAATAGGAGGAGTGCCCATTACCACTGCCACTCAGGTGAGGAGATGCCATGAGCACTAAACCTGGCATATGCTGGCCAACTCATACAGACATCAGTGTGGTTGGAATGATGACGGCATCTTGACCCAATACTCTCAGGTTTTACTGAACTCCTGGTCGGGAATCTCTGTGGAATTCGAAAGTAAATAAGCAGGACATTAAAGATGAAATCTGAGTTTTTTAGTTTTTCACTGGGATAGATATTTCTTCATTGTTGTCACACGAAAAGATATAATCAAATATTTGAGGGGTGTACTTACTTTCGTGAGATAAGCTCAGCTGTGGCTTGATGCAGTGTGGTGTGGTTTGGATTACAAGCTGCACTCCAAAGCTCAGTTTCTGTTCCCTTGCTAACTTGAATTCAGCCATGTTGACCGACTATGCAGATAGATGGTCTGTCTGAAAATGTTAATGGATCAATGAAATCTGCTTGTTGTACAGACCGTAACGGTCATTCATTAAGTGTAAACCTCCAGAGACCTAGAAACTCTCGGTTGTTTGTCTCCAGTATTGTATGAGCTGTGAAGTGCTATATCCTGTCTTGTACCTACACCACGGCTAAAAATGACAAGGTGACATTCTGATGCTCGAACCAGGGTCTAGTGTCACTTCCTGTGTGACTGTGTTGGTGTTTGCGTTCGGCCTCAACTTCTGCTTGGCCATTTTGCAACATGTTGTAATTTATCTTTTGTTTGGGGTTCAGTAGTAAAACTGGCCAAAGCCTATTGTGTTTGTTCTGGTTGGTTATTGTTGTTCCTCATCTTCCAGAAGAACTAATATGCACATTGCGGTCGGTAGGTAAGTTCTAGGACATTGTGACCTTCTTCTATGGTGGAGGACAAAGGGCCACAATCTTTAATGCTAAGGCCAATGCTAAGGCCAATGCTAAGGCCAATGCTAAGGCCAATGCTAAGGCCAATGCTAAGGCCAATGCTAAGGCCAATGCTAAGGCCAATGCTAAGGCCAATGCTAAGGCCAATGCTAAGGCCAATGCTAAGGCCAATGCTAAGGCCAATGCTAAGGCCAATGCTAAGGCCAATGCTAAGGCCAATGCTAAGGCCATGCCAATGCTAAGGCCATGCCAATGCTAAGGCCAATGCCAATGCTAAGGCCAATGGTGAAAAATGGGTACGTTCTTGCACAAATGCAAACAAATCAGACACAGATGCGTGCAATAATGTGTCAGTCAAACAATCGTTTGTTTCAATGTTAAGTACAGATGTTTTTGGCAAACTTAGTGAGGGGTTAACAAGTAGTGCATGCGTTCGGGCACCATATTGGCAGCGATTGCCGGTGCTCCTTAGAGACTGTGTGTGTCCATCCCCTTTGGTCCAGGAGCACGGTGACGGGGGGCAGAACGGACTGGAGCGGAGCGGCCTGCGGAAGCCCCACGGCCAGCTGCCCTACTTCCTGGGGCGAGGGGCACACGATCAGGCACTTATCAAGGCTGGATACTGTGTCAAGCAGGGAGCTGTGGTGAGTAAAGATATCGCGGGACAACTGGCTGGGGGATTGACTGGATGTTCCTGGCCTTGACCTATCTTCTCTTGGTCTTCCAGAAATGGAACATGCTAACAAAAGTAATCCTAACATTTAATAGCAAACGGTGGTCCTAAGCAATGTCCGAAAGGCCATCTGTAGGCAGTCTTCATAGTCAAATTATACGGAAGTGATTGAAGTGCTGATAGATTGGAATTTGGGGAATAATTTATTCTGTTTGTTTTCGTTATTCACAGATGAAGAACTGGAAGAGGAGATATTTCTTGCTGGAGGAGAATGCCTTCAGCTACTTTAAGTCAGACCTGGTAAGCAGAAATTATCTCTCTTCTGGTAACATTTCCTTGAAAATGTGTCTTGCAACAGGACAATGACAACTTAACCCACAACAGAATGGCAAAAAAAACAACTATTCTGGTCATGGAATGGTAAAGCCCAGATCTTTAATATTAATCCCTGCTGAGGTAGACTTAAGGCAGAGTGTGCACCAAAAAAAAACCGAATTTGTTATACTCTCGAAGCAGCTCTGTACAAAACACTACGCAAAACTCCTTTCTGTCGATGATCGAATCTGATCTGACATTTCCAAGACACGCCTACATGCCAAACGGGGAAACAAAGCCACTGATGTCACATTAGGTTACCTTTACCTGTCAGTTGTTTGCTAAATAAAGATCAATTGATTTTCCGAAATGGGTCGTGAAAAGACAATTCGACTGGCAACGCCGTGCTTCCTTCCTCACAGCTATGTGGATAGTTGAAACATGTTCGTCCCACACACATTCAACACCGCCTCGCTAATGACCGGAGGGTTACTGGACAAGTTCAGACCAGTCTCTCTACCGCCCATTGTCGGGAGACAAGCGGTGCCTTGTGTGCGGCCTTTCCAAGGAGCTGTTCAGACTGTCTCGCAGTCACTAACTGAGTGTTTTTTTCTCCTCGGCCCGGGACACCTCGTATCTCAGGTCCATCCTCTGTGTGCTATCGGTGCCTTTGTCCCTTGGCGGCACTGATACGGTTTTCCGGTTTCCAAAGGGGTTGAGCTGTCGTTGATTGTGATGTCAACAACCCACACAATGTTGTGTCATCTAGACGAGTACACACACACACTTATATTGTCCGCGTGTGCTGTGCCGTACTGATCTGTGTTAGTGTAGAGTACATAGGGCAGCTGTTACCTTCCAGCGATTGTGGTCTCAGCACGTCCCTCGATGAATTCCATTCCTTCCTCATGTCTGCCTGTCCCAGCTTGTGTGTGTGTGTGTGTTTGTGTCTGTATGTGTGCGTCTGTGTGTGTGTGTGTGTGTGTGCGCGCGCGTGTGTGAGAGTGCTTGTGTGTGTGTGTGTGTGTGTGTGTGTGTCGTCCTCTGCCCTAGCCTCTACGGGCTTGCCTCGCTTGTGAAACACTGCACTCCCACATGCCGGCTCAGTGGTTTAGCAGGATGAGAGGGAGAGTTGCATAGAATTAAATAGTGGCTTTGTGTCAGCCTCCCAGTGCTGCCGTCGCCTGTGAACTCTGTTCTTATGCTTGATGTGAACTCTTTAGTATCAGACCCAGGACCCTTTCTGCTGACACTGGTTTTATAAGCGTTCCCTCTGCAGGTTTAGGTTCATGGTCAAGGTTAAGTGTAACTCAGGAGTTAGCGGAAAAAGACCTGTGCTAATTCCTATGGGAATCTCACAGTATATTTAGTTATGATGAATAGGGAAACGACTGCTTGTCTGCTCCGGCAACAAGCACCCGTCATATCAGAGCTAGCCCGGT